ATAACATTCAGCATTGTCATCACATTGCATAATATTGAATGTAATCTGCTGGTCATTCAACCATAATGTGAGTTCCACTTGTGGACATCAATCAATGCTCGTACTGTAGTAAGGAAAAGTCTGCCTAGTATTATTAGCACATCGTTGTCGGCTACACAGTCTAAGACAATGAAGTTGATTGGAAAGATGAATTTGTCCACTTGTACTAGCACATTGTCTATTTTACCTTCGAGATGAGCAATGGATTGGTCACTCCTTTGCACAAGATCATTGGTCATTTGTCTCCCAAGATACATCAACTAGATGATCAGGTGCAGTAGAACAATTGTAGATTTTTGGGAAATTGTAATGTAACAGTTGTTGGTGTTCTACAACAATACCAAATTTCTTGAAAATAGATAAAGGCATAAGGTTAATGCTAGAACCTAAATCACACAATGTTGTAGCAATGTATTGATTGTCAATAGTGTAAGGAATAGTAAATCTCCCTATATCCTTCAATTTTGGTGGCAATTTGCTCATGACCATGGCGCTACACCCATCAAAGAGTGTAACAGTTTCGAACTCGCCAATGCTATGTTTCTTTAGAGTTAAATATGTAACAAATACCTTTTAATTTGACATATTCAAAGAATAATTATCATAATAATATTTAAATTAAAAATATCTTTTAATTCATAATATTTAAAAGTACCACAAATTTATTTTAAATATTAAAACCATTAATGAAATTTACTCTTTTTCCAACCGAAATTATCATAAGAAAATAAGAGTTTGAAGTTTCACATTATTAAACTTTAGGATGGATTGAATAAAAAATTAAAACGAAATTTAAAAAAATAACTTTAGTGATGATGTTTAAAAATAATAATTAAGTTAACAAAACGGAATTGTATGAATAATTGAGTGATTAAATATGTAATTTATTTTAACTTTTTAACATAATTAAGGGTTTAAGATAAATGAGATAACAATTTAAACTATATGATAAAACATTATACTACATTATATTTATACCAAATATATTGAAAAAAAAGAGCAACTCGATATAAATTGCATTTAAACCATTTTTACTTTAAGCCATTAATATCTAAATACCAATTTATAGTATACTTCGAAAGGGCAAAAATACATACTCTCTTTCTAAGTTTCATCTTGGGCATTCTCCCTCTCCTCCTTTCTGTTCTTTGGAGCACTGCTAATTTCAAGTTCACCCCTTTTTCTTCTATTCTGCTCAGTCTCAATATATGGGTAAGCTTCATTCTCCATTAGTTCTTCGTTCTATTGTTAATGGTGGAAGGGATCTTTATATTTTCAACTCTTCTGTTAACACCATTGCTACCCGCATTAAAGCTTTAAGCAAAATTTCAATGCCTGTAAAGGGAAACCCAAAAAAGCATGATGGTTTTGATAACGTTGATGATGCTTTGTTTTTCTTTAATAAATGATTGAGAAATACCCAAAGCCTTAAATTGTGGAATTCACTAAATTAATGGCAGCCATTGTTGGGGTGAACCATTATGCCGTTGTTGTTTCTTTGTGTAGCCAAATGGAATTATTTGGGGTTTCGCATAATGTTTATTCTTTGAGCATCTTGATTAACTGCTTTGGTCAATTAGGTCCAATTGATTTTGGGTTGTCTGTTTTGGGGAAAATGCTAAAGCTTGGTGTTGAACCTGATGTTGTAACCTTTTCTAATTTGATTAATGGACTTTGCAAACACATAAAGTTTACCGAGGCTGAGTTTGTTTGATGAAATGTTTGAAAAAGGGTATCAGCCTAATTTGATTGTTTACAATACGATACTTAATGGGTTGTGTAAGATCGGCAATACCGACAGAGCTGTTAGGTTTTTAAGGATGATGGAAGAAAGAGGCTTTGTACCCAATATTGTAACATATAGAACTGTCATTGACTATCTTTGTAGGAAGGGGTTGTTGAAGGAGGCTCTCGACCTCTTCTCCGAATTGAAGGTTAAGGGAAACAGACCTAATATTGCCATCTACAATTGCTTATTTTATGCTATGTGCAATTTGGGCCGGCAAAAGGAGGTAACGAGGCTTTTGAATGAAATGAGGGAGAACAATATGTCACTTGATATTTTCACATATAGTATAATGATCGACACGTATTGCAAGGATGGTATGGTTTCTGAAGCCATAGATATCTTTGACACAATGAGAAAGCAAGGCATTGAGTCTAATGTTGTGTCACGTATAGTATATTAGTTGATGCTTATTGCAAGGAGGGAATGGTTTCCAAAGCTGAAGATATTGTTGACACCATGAGAAAACAAGGCATTGAGCCTAATGTTGTTACCTATAGTGCATTTATAGACGGCCATTGCTTGCAAAACGAAATGGATAAAGCTAGTAGAGTATTTCAGTTGATGATTCAGAAAGGTTGTGCACCCAATATACACGGTTACAACATCATGATCAACGGATATTGCAAAGCTAAAAGGTTCAGCGAAGTAATGGGACTCTTTCATGGAATATCACAAACAGGACCAACCCCTGATACTATCGCATATAGCATTCTAATGCAAGGTATGTGTCAATTAAAGAGAGTTCCTGCTGCATGTGAACTTTTGAGGGAGATGTTTGCTTCTGGACTAGTTCCAAGTCTATTGACCTATTCAATTTTGGTGGATGGTTTATTCAAAAGAGGTAAACTTAAGGAGGCCTTGAAAGTTTTTCAGGCAATGTGGAATAGTGGGCTCGAACTCAATATTATCTTTTATAATATCCTAATTGATGGCTTGTGCAAAACTGGGCATACTGAATGTTCAAAGAGGATGTTTAACGAACTGTTCGTAATGGTTTAAAACCCACCTTTTTACACACAATATAATGGTTAATGGATTATGTAAAGAGGGATTATCAGACGAAGCATATCAGTTGTTTAGGAGCATGGGAGATGATGATTGTTTGCCTGATAGCATCTCTTATAACGTAATTATCCAGGGGTTTTTCTGAAACAGCTCTACCTCAATGGCAATCCAACTCCTGGAGGAAATGGTTGGCAAGGGCTTTTCTACAGATTTATGCACTGCCACCTGGTATGTGGGTCTACTCTTCCAATCAAATAAACCGATCTTGATTTAAAAATGTTGAGTTGTTAGTATAACGATCATCGGTTGTCAATGTGAATGTGAATGAACTCGGTCATAACCATTTTCATTGTTGTGATAAATTAATTGTTTATCTTTAGAGCTATGTTGAGTGTTGAAATGTATTTCCAGTCTTAGTTGATGTACCTTGTAAATATTAAGGTCTATTTTGATATTACAATCATTTGTATTACTTAATACTTTTACATGTTATGTTATATTTCGTTAATCATGTTTGTATTGGGCTAATATAATACTAACTGGTAACATAACCTTGTGCTTTCCAGCATCGATGACTTAAAGCTGTAGTTTGGGATTTCCCACTTCATGTCTTGTCTTGTCTTGAGTTCTGCTATTAAAATCCGTTTTAAGTTTACCAATGTGACCTGCTTTCCTCTCATTATCTACTCATTCTTTATTAAATCTTTCAATTTGGAACACATTAATGAATAGGCTTAATACCCAAATAAGTGCCCAAACTATATATTTTTTTCGAATAGGTGCCTACTGTATTTTTTGGACTATCCAGGTGTCTAGCGTTAAAAACGTTACCACTTTAAGTGTTCGGGCGACATTAATTTCCTCTATTAAGTGACACGTGTTATAATTTGATAATTTTAAAAATTTTATATAATATTTAAAAAATAAAATTCTATATATTTTAAAAAAGAAAACACAAATTTCAAAATAACCCCTAAACTTTGAAAACATTCATTTCAACCCCTAAACCCATGTCGATTGCCATCTTTTGCCGTCAATAAAGCTCCACCCGACTTTACCTCCCCAGACAATCAAAACCCCTATAAAATCGTGACTTGTCGACGTTTTATACCTCACAAACCCTAAGATGAAAATCACGATCCAACACTATTTCGATGATCAATTGGCAACAACTACAACGACATATAACTAGGATGATGACAGAGACTACGTCGATTGCAGTGGTCGTGGCCGAAAAAGGCGGCGGTGATGGGTTAGTGTTAGGATTTGGAAATTTTAATTTTAGGGATTTTGAGGTTTTTTTGTAATTTAAAAGAAATTAGGGTTTTTTTAATAAATATAATAATATTTTTAAAAAAATAAAAAAAATAAATTTCAAAATTAACAGATTATAACATGTATCACTTAACAGAAAAAACTAACGGCCGTTATATCCCAAACACTTAAAGTGATCATATTTGTAACGTTAGACACCTGAATGGTCTAACAAAATACTAAAAGCACCTATTCGGGCAAAGAAGATATAGTTTGTGCACCTATTTGGATATTAAGCCTAATGAATAGTTCAATGTGGTGGTGGTGTTGGGATTACACAATTGAACATGTTTTATTCTTCTGCCCATACGCCCAAGCAGTTTGGACAGTGACTGGTTTCAGTTATTTTGTCTCAGTTTGTTTCATGTTTTCAGTTTAGTGGCATATCTTAAAAAGTGGTTCTCACACTTGTGCCGGGAATGTCATGGATGGAAAGTCCAAAGCAAAGCCACACTCCTTACATCCGAATGCACCAAAATCCTTATGATCGAGACAGCAACCATTGCATTTACGACCGGAAAAGAAGTAGCGTCGTCCATGTTTGATAATATAAGGAACAGGGACACTCCTTAGACAAAACTTATCGTGTTGATTACCTTTATAAAACAAACCACAGCAACCCCGACAGCACAAGTGACTATTTCCGATCTTGGGTTTCAAGGGTGATGGCGGGCAGTCGAAACCAGTGATGTCTGATGGCGTGCACTCCTTTGGATACAATGAATTATAATTGCCATATTGTTTACCAAGTAAAGTACGAATACAAAATTTAGCCATTAAGATTTTAAAATAATTATGATTAATTGCATGTTTCATTACTCCAATTCAACAGGGTCATATCTAACCAAATCAACAAGGCTTTGACAAATCAAATTATGAAACAAAATGTTCTTGGAAGGGATGAACAGCATGTCATAAAGAATGTACACATCACCTTCAAACTGGAAGAGACTGATGCGACAAAGTAATGGAAGTGGTAACGTTGCGACTCCTGCAATCACAGGTGCACACGCTTCTTGATTCTTTAACCACGCGCTGCGATCTCCGAGTATGAAGCTTGATGTTCACCAACTTACCACCCATCTGTTACAAACAACAAATAGACTTAACCCAGAAACACAAAACCATCTATTCTTTAAAGACCAAATGCTCAGGCCATCAACACCGTTATTGCCTGTCATTCAGACTAGGAATATCAAATATAAACTAGTGGTGAACCGATTTACAAACCATTCTCCAAACCAGATCTTCTGGACCCAAGGGTTGAGCTGGACTAGAGTACACAAAATACCTTGAGAACTGGAAAAATGAGAACAAAAGTTCCAGTCAAATTGACATTATAAAATATGCTACTGCTTAACAATATCGATACTATCTTGGAGAGATGAAAGATCATCAGTAATTTATGAAGTACCATCCAATTATTAAAAGAAAATACCATAAAGGCATAAAGAGATGAACATTCAAAAAACGCCAAGTTTTGGTTTCAAAAAAGTGAAATTCCATTACTAATCCTAATGCTAAAATTCTCCGCATGTACAAGAAAAATGGCTGTAAGAGGCATAAAGAGATCTATATTCAAAGATGCCAAGTTTTGGATTGAAAAGAAAATGAGAATGCTAAACCAAATATTAAAATTTTCTACCCAAGTACAAGCACAGACAACAATGGTAAAACATCAGTCTTTCCATCTAAGCATTGTTTAAGACAAAGCAAATCAACAGACTACAGAAGGATCATCATACAGAATTTGCACTCACAAACCTCCACAAGGTTCCTCCTCAGTTCTGTGATCTGAGTAGAGCTAATGCCTTTTAAATATGTTAGCAGCCAACCTGGTTGCACAGCATCAGTTGAAGAAACAAATATAGCTATCTGCATGAAAGGAAACAATAACACGATAGAGCCTGTGACTTAATCTAACTGTTTAATATGCAGAAATCATGAAACCCCAATGAAATACTTGGTAGCAGCTCAATGAGCTTCATTGCAAAATTTAATTTATTGCTTCTGTTTCGCTAGTCAAACAAATTCTTGAAGGGGAAAGGAGATAATAAAATGTATCCTCTTGTAAAACCACACAGACAACAGAATACAACATATCTATTCCGCAGAAACTTTTGTAAAACCATGTTCATCTTTATCTGGAACAAAATGACCCTTTACCCCAAGACATGCATTTCAAAGTGACCATTTTCAAACATACTTGAGTATCAAGATAAGCACCGGCAAATTTAGATTACCCACTTCAAGTTACACAAGTAGCAGAGGAAAATGAACAGTAGCAGGATCATGAGTTTCTTGTATCCTGATGATCAAATAAACAAGATGAAAAAGCACCAAATTGACGCATAAAGTTGGTTCTTAACATTATGAATGATGATCTACAGATTGCCCACCAATAATAAATAAATTATAACCATTCACTTCATGCAACATGAAACCATGGAGGCAATCTAACACATACCTTAACTTCTAAAAAATGCATGTAACAACTTTCTAAAAATGACAACAAATAAATAATAAATTATTTAATTTCATCACGTGACAAATAAAACAGTAGGCTGATTTTCAACAGACTGAGCTTTTACTTGACTGGAATAATCATTTCAACTTATATCAATAACTCCCTCCGTATCATATAGTAATCATCTTTTCGGCAATGACTAAACCAAAAGTAAAAAGCACAGTCAAGGTAGCCACAATGAATTGAAGTGGCAACTAAAGCATTAAAAAACGCATACCTTTCTATAATCTAGTATTCCTTCAAAAGGAAGTTCCAATTCATCACTAATAATAACAGGGATACACCCGCTGACAATAGCATCAAACAATCTAGCAGAGGAAGGAGTGTCACCAGCTGGACATAAACAAAATATAGACCTGATGACAGTGGAAACAACATAACCATTATGATATAGCTGGACAAAGAATTGTAAAAGTGAACCATTCAATCTTACATGCGCATCCCCTTTTGAGCAGCAGCTTTCCCTTGCTCCCCAGCTGTTCCTTCCTCTATCACTATATCCTTTGCACCTGCTAATTCTGTTACAAGTTTAGAGCGTATTTTTCCTCCCTGAAAAAGCAAAATTACAAATTAAGCATCCAAAAGAATGAATGAAATATATTAGCATGTGAGACACAGGAGAGAGAATGTTGGAGAGAAAACAGGTAAAGCACTTCTCTGGTCAACCATTAAAAAAAAGACACGAAGATCTGGAAAAGAGCGCCAACAAATAAAAAAAATAAAAACAATTCAACCAGCTTTTAAGAGAACTGATACTCAAAAGAGTATCAGGGGGGGGCTACTTCAGGATAACTGTACTTTTAGTAACTAAATTTTTAAATGCCTTTACAATCTCTACCTTACTATCAAGCAACCATAGACACACATATGGAGAAAAAGCCCAAGTCATCTTTCTTACCTGTTTCACCACCTTCTGTTTCGAACTAACAATTGGCAAGTCTTTGTATTAAAGATAAAAGATCCATAATTCATTAGAGAAAGACGATGAGGATTTGGAAAAGAGCGCCAACAAGTAAAATAATAAAAATAAATTCAACCAGCTTTTAAGAGAACCGATATCTCAAACAGAATCAAAGGAGAGGGGGAGTACTTCAGCATAACTGTACTTTTAGTCACTAACTTTTAAATGCCTTTTCAATCTCTACCTTACCCTCAAGAAGCAACCATAGACACACACATGAAGAAAAAGCCCAACACATCTTTCTTACTTGTTTCACCTTCTGTTTCGAACTAACAATTGGCAAGTCTTCATATTAAAGTTAAAAAATCCATAATCCACATGGAAAAACAACGAACACAGGATTATGGTTATTACAATGTCCTGCCCCCTCCCCTCCAATATTTCTTTCCTGTTATACAATTCTTGTGTTTGGAGGGGAAAAAGGCATGTCCTTGGGATATATCTCATGCATATGCATCCACTTAGTAAGCCCAACATGTTACCCTACTTCCTTCCATGTTCTATCAAATTTAGTTGAAGCAGGAAAAAGAAAAAGAATCAAACAGACTAATAAGACAGACGGAACTCTTACAGCATTTCTTTTAAGTCGTCCACGGAAGAAAAGCAGTGTGGTTCTCTTTGATTCACTTTCTGATACACATTTTGCATCACATAAATCAACATTAGGAACATATGGGAGAATGAGGTCCTTCTCCAGTGAAACTTGCCCTGGCTTGTACCTAGGATGTCAGAAGATCACTTTTCAGAAGCTGAAATGAATGTAAACTCGCAAGATAAATATTATTTGCACTAGTTATATAGTTACCAATTCCCTGTAGAATCCATATCTGGTAAAAGCCAAATTGCATTTTTTACATATCTGCGAACCGACTTAAAGGACCATGGATGATGAATGGGAAATATGTGATCCCTTCCTTCAGATCGTTTCCAAGCAGGCTGATCTGTCACCCATTTCAAGGCTTCCTGCAACAACAGAAAACAAGAGCCTAGGACAAGTAATTCTAAAATCTAATAGCACAAATGTACACATACAATAATACAGACAAAGTCCTTTTAAGGTAAATTACACACTACTTTGTCCTATATGTCTCACAAAACCTTTTCAAATAATAATAATAATAATAATAATAATAATGGGATTAACTAAGGATAAAGTAATTCATGAATTACATGATAAAACCATGATAACCCACAAAAACAAGTTTATCTAAATTAAATATGAGAATTCAGCTTAGTGGCTTGCGTACAAGGAAACTAAAACACGCAGCAAAATCAATAGAGAAAATGCATAGGTCTTGACCCAATTATGATTTTAGTTACTTCCCCTACCTCCCTTTCAAACCAAACACTCGTTAATACATTGACCTATATTGTCAACATTGATAAACCATAATAACAAAATATGCACATCACAACACATGAACCTTCCAAAGACACAAAAAAACAATCAGCAGAATAGGAGTGAAATCAAGCTCCTCTTTTAAAGAATAAATGAAAATATCGGAAATGCACTCACACCCTATATAACGCCTTGCATTGTTGCTTCTCCAACAAGAAAAAGCTAATTGTGGTGAAGAATGGCACGTAAAACAAATCTGCCTCCTCCTGCTTATCAACTCTCACAACATTTTTCAAAAGCCTTTCGGAATCCGGCGCAATCAAATCCGCCCATAACCAATAATCAACAGAATGCTGCACCAGCAGAAGAACAAAATTTAAAGGAAAAAAATTATAAGAATCATTTTTTTTCTTGAAAAGGAAGGATACTTTCCGTTCCTTATATTTTCTCAGCACTCCAATCGAGAATCTTCAACAGATTTCAAAGAGGAATAAACCCAATTAGAATACTTGATAATTTTACCTGTTCGATCAAACGGTGAACAGGGCTTCCGTTGGAGGTTAGATTAGACGTTTCTCGATAAGTATTCCGAAACAACCAAAGTAAATCGAAGGTGAACTTCTTGGGCATCTCGTAAACGTAAACCCTAATCGGGAAATTCAGCGGGTAGTACGGATCTCGGTGCACCCACTCCATTTCCTTGAAGAACTTCCGGTCGTCGAAGCTCGTGACGACATCTTGGAGCGCGGAACGCACAGTATCGTCGGAAGTGCGGTAACTGGGAGCCTTGTGAGTGAGGAAGTCTTCGAGGGAAGCCTCGAAAGAGGTTTCGGGTGGGATAAGGGGGTGCGGGTGAGTATATACGGAGGAGGAGGCGGTGGGATCAGAGGGAGTGGAGAAGAAGAAGAGGAAACAGAGAGCGAGGAGAGAGAGGGTGAAGAAGAGGAGGAGGATTTTGGATTTGGATCTCGTGGAAGACGATGGCATTTGCTTAGCTCGCATCATTCTTTTTGTTTTTGTTCTTATTCTCCGGGAGATCTTAGGAGGTTTCGGATATCAGAGAGATGAGAGTAGCGGAGGTGGACAGTTCATGTAATATCTGATCTGCAATATATGTATGGCTCTCTAAAGAATATTAACACTTAATGTTGGTTAATGATATGCGTGGTTATGCGCTATAATCTAAAATTTATAATTTAAAGTGTAATATTCTTTATAATATTTTTTGATAAAATGATTAAGACGATGCGTTTGAAAAAAAAAATTCCCTCAAATAATTTAGTATAAATATTATTTGTCAATTAGAGTTTTTACTACAGGAAACTTCAAAGACATCATGTACTCCATATAATTTCAAAAAAATTCTATGCCCAAAACGTGTCTTCAACCGGAGAAGACTCCACGCTTACAATTTATTTTTGGCTCGATCAGGAAGACATAGACTACAATGTGTCTTCTCCAATAACTCTGCATGTCATCCTTACATGGTAGTGAAAATAATTGCGGGGGGAGTTGGATGTATGGTTCAACAATAATAATGGTGTCAATATTGTGCACCAGTTAAAATTTTATAAAATGGGGAGTTGTGCATCATTTTAAAATTTTATAAAATGGGGAGTTGGGTTTAGCGATCATGCACAGGTGAGAGAAGAAAACAAGAGTGTTTGTCAGGAAAAAAAAGGAAAGGAAAAGGCAGGAAAAAGGGAGAAGAAAGTTCGAAAGATGAATAGTTTTTTTGTGTGGTAAGTTTAAATTTAATTGTAGAAATAAAATAAATAATTATATTATTTTGTTAAATAATATTATTGTGTTCTTTTGCAGATTAAGGAGTGAGTGAGAAGTTGTTTCTAAAGATTTTTTAATTATGGGAAGAAGTTCTCAAGTAAGAAGAGATTTTATTTGAAGTATTTTATGATTTATTGTTATATTAATATATATTGGTTTTATAATTTCTTAGTTTTATTTTACTTTTCGAATCATTATTATAATCTTTTAATAGTATTAATTTGCTATTGTAGTAAACATGTTAAAACAATTAGATGTATATATTTAAATAATAGCGAAATATTATTAAAAATTATGTATTTTTATTCTAAATATATATATTTTTCGTATGTAGAGAAAATGAGCAACAACTTATTCATTATTATACATTATAATGGATAGATTATGGAAAATTAGGTTGGTGTTTTTTTCAGTCTGAAATACTTATAAATATGGTGTTTAAACGAACACCACATTTGTATAAATGAAGGAGATGATAGAAAGAAAAATTTGAGCTACAATTGATGCCTTGAGGTACAAGTTTATGGTATGTCTCAATCCAGTCAAGTATGTTGCAGTACCACTTGAAGAATATGATGATATTAGAACTATGATTAAATTACATGACTCGACAAATATTCTAGTTATTGAGTTATTTGTTGAGGTGCATAAGATATTTGATGTTCATGGGTTGTCAAGAAATGTGGTTGGAAATTCATCTTAAATGAATTTCGGGAGTGAGTTTGACGACCCAACATATAGGTCGATAAACAATTCTGTAGTGTTGTTGGAAAGTGCAAATGAAGTCGGTAGAACATTCGCAGCAGGTGTGTATGGGGAAAGAAACATACATCATCCAAAATCAACTATTGATATTGATTTCAATAATCCCTTAGGAGAAATACATGATGACTCTAGCGAAGATGAAGAAGCTGATGAACCTATTTTGGCTTACATTAACATTATTTTCGGTGGTGGTGAACTTGATTTGGCCATTGATGAATATCTAGCACCGTATCAACCTACCCTTCACATATACAAGATAGATTATGATGCATGAACACAGTTGAATTCCCAGAGATGTCACATTTAACTTCAAAATGCATGATTGAATCATCCAAAAACTCAGGTGAATTATCATTTGGGAAGCAATTTAGAGAAAAAAATAAAGCTACATTGGTGATTAAAGAGTATTACATAAAAGGTCATGTAGATCGCAACGTTGCAGAGTCTAACCAGAAAACCCTATATATAAAGTGTGTTAAATATAACCCCTGATTACTCCATAAAAAGGCTACTTTTAAGGCCTTTTTCACTTATGTTATTATTTGTCTAAGGGTTCATATAGTTCATCTTAGATTCATATAGTTGCATTTGTGGTGGTTGTGTTATTTTTACTTTGTTAAAGTGTTATATGATGGGAAAGGTGTGGATGGTTAGTGATGTACAGAAACAATGAGCATAGGGTAAGCTGAGAAAAATGTCGCAACATCACACGTTGCTGAAGCAGACTGCAATGCCTTTGCATTTTTGCCGTAGAAAAAGACAAAGAGATATTTTCACAAGAGGATAACTGTCAAAGCACGTGTCTGCTGCTTATAACTGCCTGAATGGAGTCCACTGCCACCTGTGGAGATAAACATCACTCCCAAGGAATGAATTTGGGGGTATGATGTGTATTTTGAGTGCAAAATTACCTAAAAATACCCATAGATATTTTATTTATAAGGACACCTCACAAGAGAGAGATAATTCTTGGAAAAAGCTTAGAAATCCATATCATTTTCTTCATTTTCTCTACCTCTGTTACCATTCCTCTTTCTCCATTTTTATTTGTGTTCCTCCATTGGTTAAGCTCGAGGGAGTGGCGAATCATCCGAGAGGAGCTCACGCTATAACCATTAGTGGTGGTTTGAGGGAAGTACCGATCGTGCACATCTAGTGTTTTCTTCTCCAACCTTTGCTCCATTTTTAAAGCTTAAAACTTTATTTGGGTTGTAAGGTTGAATGAAAGATTAGGTATACTCTATGGTTTGTTTGAACCCCACCATGAACTAAGCTATATTTTGTGGGGTTCATTTGATGGATGCTTGAAACTTTATTTTAATGGTTGATGAATGTTTATCTTTTGTTTTTACTTGTTTTGTTTATGTGTGCTTCACCTTCTAAGATTGTAGGAGGCATGAGAGTGTCTATTCTTAGATGTAGACTAGATGTTTGAGAGAAATCTAGTAACTAATTCTTAAGTGTTTGAGAGAAACTTAAGTAAGATTAACATAAACAATGGGGTATAGTTAATCACTGTATCCTAATCCCTTAGTACTTGAGAGAGACTAAGCTAGGATTTCAATGACTAAGAGGGATAGTGCGTCATCAATAGTGTAGGTTGCCATAGTTGAGACTGAAAGGAGATGCCGTGACATTCTATTCTATTAGGTCCTTAGGACTAGAGATATCGAGAAACTTTTAGCAACTCCATTGAAAAGTAAAACATTAGAAGACTAGATCAGCTAGAGAGATAAGTTTTTAGCTCCTTAAGTGTTTCCCCGCCATTCATTCCTGAAGTAGTTTCCCATGTGAGGATTATCAAGCTATTCCATTTATTTGCTATTTTTACCATTTACATTACCTTGGCTTTTTCATCATATTCATCATTATAAACTGCTCTTTTGCCACGACATTATTCACTCAATCACACTCCCTCACCATCATTTCAGTCACTCTCACATTTCCATTGTCTAAGTATCATCAGTGTATATATCATTTATACACTTAGATAAATTAGTGTAATGATGTGGTGAAACTCATAATTTTCACCAATCCCTGTGGAGACGATACTCACTCATCACTTTATTACATATTGCGATTGTGTATACTTGCATATCATTTACGTATAATTTATTAGTACTCACAATATGCAACAAGTTTTGGCGCCATTGTCGGGGGTTGGCAACGTGGAGTTATTTAATTTGCCATAGCATTTTATTTTACTTCTTTATTTTTTGTATAGTTTACTTGTTATTTCAATTTATTATTTTTCAGGCTTATTTGGTGTATGCCTAGAAGACATTCCGATGAGCCATTAGAACCAATTGAACCTGAGATTGAGAGATTTTTTTAGGAAAAGGAGACGTACTCAAAGTATTCGAGAAAATATGTATCCAATTGGGAACCAGAGCAGTGGTTAAGAAGAAGGCAATTAGAATGAGGGGCATTTCACAATGCTGGGTCTTTTGATTGGCCTCGTGCCATTCGTGATCATTTGAATCCTTTGCTGGATGATATGAATCCTGGAATTGTGGCACCCAAAATTCAAGCAGCCCATTTCAAACTCAAACATGTGATGTTTAATATACTGAATTTTATAGGGCAATTTAGGGGCATGACAACTAAAGATGCCATAAAATACATTCGTAACTTTTTGGAGGTTTGTAATTCTTTCAGCCAACAAGGAGTGCATGAGGATGTGCTAAAACTAAAGTTATTTCCATACTCTTTGAGTGACCGAGAGAGGGCTTGGTTGGGTGGTGTTCCATCTGGTTCGATGGAATCATGTGTCGATCTTTGTAAAAGTTTTCTATTGCGCTATAACCCGTCAAATATGAACACTCAACTAAGGAATGTCATAACATCCTTTCACCAAGGTGATGATGAATCTATATATGAATGTTGAGATAATTACAAGAGTTTGTTTCGCAAATGTTCTTATCATGGTTTTCAAGATTGGACTCAAGTAGTTATGTTTTATAATGGAGTCAATGCACCCACGTGGATGATGCTTGATGCCTAGACAAATGGGACATTGCTTGATAAATCCTACTGAGGCGTTTGCTATTTTGGATAGAATTGCCAACAATGACTATCAATTTCTGTCTTTAAGGCTTGGAATTGGGAGAAAAGAACTTAGAGCATTCGAGTTAGATACCAAGGGATTCTGTGTCCACTCAACTCTCAACTATCACGAATATGTTGAAAAACTTACAACACTTTACTGAGGTGAAGAAAGTGAAGACAACTAGTTTGGCATGTTTTTTATGCCACGACAATCATCATTAGAGCGAATGACCAACCAATCATGAGTCCATCATTTTTGTAAGTAATTTCAATCGAGGTAATAACAATTCCTATTCTAACACCTATAATGTAGGATGGAGCAAACACCCTAACTTTTTATGGGGTAATCAAGGAGCTCCTAATGCTAGTCAACCTACTTGTCAGCAAAATTATACTTAATCTCGAGGCTACCAAAACACTATGCCATGGCTTATTGCTAACAAGGGAGCCTTATCTTCAGCAAAC